AGAAAAATGCTGATATTATTGGGTGCAAACCAAAATTGGGCAATTTTTGGCAGCCAATAATTGTCCCTCCTGTCCCACAACCTGAGGTACCGCCAGTGACAAGTGTGTAATGTAATGTCAATAATATTTCCTGTTTTTTGTTTGGCCTTTCATAGCATGTAATGTGTCTTTCTCAGCATTCATTTTGAAGACTGTCGACTACTATTTGCGTTAATATATTGTTATTCCTATTAATTTGTTGTTGTAGTTGGCTGTTTAATGTAATCCCCCCATTTCCACTACTACTACTTATATTAGCTTGAATTGCTTTGTTGTCCCAGTTGGTCCCCCACCACTTTTGGTTTTTTTATATGTATCGTTTGCAATGTAAGTAATTTTTAGAGAGAGAGAGAGAAGAGAGAGACAATACAGAGGAAGCAAGAATATATAGATGAAGAGAGGAGAGCGATACCAATGAGTGAGATAAAGAGAAAAAGATAGCAAAGACATAGAGAGATTAGAGAGATAAGATCTCCTCTCTCTCTCTCTCTCTCTCTCTCTCTCTCTCTCTCTCGCGCTCGCCGTTTTTTCTCCCTCCCTCTCTCCCTCCCTCCCTCGCTCTCTCTATCTCCCTCTCCCTCTCTCTAGAGATGGGTGAGTAAAATGAAGACAGAAGGGAAGGGTGGATGGAAATGAGGACGGGTGGATGAAAAAAGGAGAACAGACAGAGGAGTGGAATATAAAGGGAGGAAGGACAGGGAGTCTGTCTATCTGTCTCCTGTCTCACTCTCAATACAAGCTATATGCCCTGATCTGTCTCACTCTCAATAAGAGTTATATTAGCCCTGATCTGTCTCACTCTCAATAAGAGTTATTAGCCCTGATCTGTCTCACTCTCATCGAGTTATAGCCCTATCTGTCTCACTCTTCAATAAAGCTATTATCCGCTGATCTGTCCCTCACACTCTCTCAATACAGCTATTGCCCTGATCGTCCAACTCTCAATAAGATTTATTAGCCCTGATCTGTCTCACTCTCAATAAGAGCTATTAGCCCTTATCTGTCTCACTCTCTCAATAAGAGTTATTAGCCCTGATCTGTCTCACTCGCATTAAGAGCTATTAGCCCTTATCTGTCTCACTCTCAATAAGAGTTATTGCCCTGATCTGTCTCAATCTCAATAAGAGCTATTAGCCCTGATCTGTCTCACTCTCTCAATAAGAGCTATTAGCCCTGATCTGTCTCACTCACTAAGAGTTAGTAGCCCGGATCTGCTCTCACTCTCTCAAAAGAGCTAATAGCCGGATCTGGTCTCACCTCTCATAAGAGCTATTACCCGATCTGGCTCAATCTCATAAGAGCTATTAGCCCTGATCTGTCTCAATCTCATTAAGAGTCATTAGCCCTGATCTGTCTTACTCTCTCAATAAGAGTCATTAGCCCTGATCTGTCTCAATTTCAATAAGAGTTATTAACCCTGATCTGTCTCACTCTCAATAAGAGCTATTATCCCTGATCTGGGAGGGAGGGGTTAGGTGGGGGAGTGAGAGCTAAACACAAAGGTAGGAAGAAATCTGAACATTGTGAGTTTAGTTTTCTTCCAGTTCAAGTAGAACAAAAAACAGAGCTAGCTCAATATTCTAAAAAAGGAATTACCCCAAGCTTAAGCAAATAACCCACAAACGTTTAGTTCCACAGTGGTATTTACAGCATCTACCACATAATCCTGCAGCTGTTTATTTTTAATGACACACCATGATAGAGTCTAAAATATGTCTGCCCCTTTTTCTGAAGGGTATTTATAGGAAACCCACTTCTTGGCCAATGAGGTTAGAGCGTAGTGTTGCTCTAACCCCCCTCTCCCCCTCCCCCTCTCTCCCTCCCCCTCTCCCTCTCATCCCTCTCTCCCTCCCCTCCTCCCCCCTCTCTCTCCTACTCTCCCTCCCTCTCCCTCTCTCTCTCCTCCTCTCCCTCTCCCCCTCTCCCCCTCTCTCCCCTCTCCCCCTCTCCTCCCCCCTCTCCCCCTCTCCCCCTCTCCGCTCCCTCTCCCTCTCTCTCCTCCCCTCTCCCTCCTCCTCACCCCCCTCTCCTAATCCTTCTCTCCCTCCCCCATCTCCCTATCTCCCCCCTCTCTCTCACCACACCCGCCCCCATTCTCCCTTTCCTCCTCCCCCTCCGTCGCCTCTCTCCCCCCCTCCAACTCTTTCCATTTAATCACCCCTCGTCAGTGATATCTACCCTTTTATTGAACTCCAAATCGCTCCTCCACTCCCTTCCTCCCCCTGCCTTCTCCTCTCCTCTCCCCCCTCGTCCCCCTTCCTTTCCTGTTGACTTAACGAGCCTGCTGTCATTGATTTCCCCTCTTTCTTTCTTGTTTATTGACACCCTTCCCTCGTTCACAGAGCTGTCCACTCAGCCTGTACTTTCCATCCGTAACACTTCGTTTAATTTACACACACTTTTATAATTAAACATACTGAGTCATGTTTTCCCAAGATCACGCCTCCCAACGTCCGCCCCTTCTCTCCACTCCCCTCCTCTCCCTAACTCCTCTCCTCGCCTCCCCTCATCCTCTCCTCTCCTCTCCTCCCCGTCCTCCCCTCCCTCTCCTCTTCCTCTCCTCTCCCTCTCCTCTCCTCTCCTCTCCTCTCCTTCCATTCCCTCTCTCCTCCTCTCCTCTCCTCTCCTCTCGCTCGCCTCTCTCTCTCTCCTCTCCTCTCCTCCTCTCCCCTCTTCCTCTCCTCTTCTCTCATCCTCTCCTCTACTCTCTCTGCTCCTCTCCTCCTCTCCGCTGCATGGCGAGAATCACTCGGCCTCCTTCGTCGTCATGGTAATGAGAGTTACCTTCCCTCTAGGGGACGCTGCATGGGGTCGTCGCCTCTCCTCAAGCCTCCTCTCCTCTCCAGGAAGGCCTCGCAGACGATGCTATCCGATTCCATCATACGTCGACTCAGGGGAACCAAACGTAACTCTCGTTGGGCCTCTCCTCATGTCCTTCCTCATATAAAAAAAACTCCTATCACGGGATCATAGCATCCTCAATCCTCTCCTTCCAACACGTCTGCACCGGCTCCGTTCGGACTCTCCTGCCCTGCCTCCCAAGCATCGCGAAGAACCGGGCATACCAAATACTCCGGGGTCCATGGGTCCGTCACTCTAATTAACTCAGCAAAGCACGAGAAAGAGGAAATGTACGAAGACCCTGTCCTCACGACATCGAGAGATGACAACGCATCCTCTCAGGCACATCCACTGTGCTCCTCGGAATAGCCTCTCCTTCGGTATGTAAAAGATAGGACTGTCCTCTAATCCCTACACAGGGAGGAAGAAGAACTCAGGAACAGAACATACACCATTGCGAAAATCAATTAGTCAGAAGAGCTCCAGGTCTCTCAATGACTCGTGAGGGCAGAACCATCGGGTCCTCCCGATAATAGGGGAAGACGTACTGACTAATCCTCCTCTCTCCTCCTCTCCTCCCACTGAGCATCCCTCTCCTATGCGATAAATTCCCTCGCTCCTAGGGCCCAAATCCTCGTCCTCATACGTATCGTCAGTCATCCCACTCGCATCCTCTCAGGGGCTCCTCCCGTCACAATTCCACTGTCCTGCCTCAAGCATTCCCCTCGCTCCCTGAAGCCCTCTCCTCGATCCGTAGTCTACCCTAGAATCACTCCTCCTCTCCTACACTTGTAGAAAACCGTGGTCCTCTCCTCTCCTGCTCCCCCTACTCCCGCATCATCTCCTACGTTCTGCATCCTGGGCATCGAATCTCATCCTCTCCTCTTCCCACCTCCCCTCCTCCTCTCCTCTCTGACCTGCTCTCAATTATTTTATTTTCCTATTATCTGGCTACTAGTGTATGCTAGGCACCGCTGCATAATGCATTAGATTGACTTACTGTCCAATGAATAACTATTGCCATGCAGTGAGCCCTGAAAATTAAAGATCCAGTAGAATAATACACTATTATGATATAAGATCCAGTGGAATAATACACTACTATGATATAAGATCCACTAGAATAATACACTACTATGATATAAGATCCAGTGGAATAATATACTACTATGATATAAGATCCAGTGGAATAATATACTACTATGATATAAGATCCAGTGGAATAATATACTACTATGATATAATATCCAGTGGAATAATACACTACTATGATATAAGATCCACTAGAATAATACACTACTATGATATAAGATCCAGTGGAATAATACACTACTATGATATAAGAACCAGCGCACCACAACAGTCTCCTAGAGCTGACACTGCCAGGTCTTGTGGTGTGTGTGTCTGTGTCTGTGTGCCAGTGTGTGTGTGTGTGTGTGTGTGTGCCATTGTGTGTCAGTGTGTGTGTGTGTGTGTGTGTGTGCCATTGTGTGTCAGTGTGTGTGTGTGTGTGTGTGTGTGTGTGTGTGTGCGTGCGTGCGTGCGTGCGTGCGTGCGTGCGTGCGTGCGTGCGTGTGTGTGTGTGTGTGTGTGTGTGTGTGTGTGTGTGTGTGTGTGTGTGTACCAGTATATGTGATAATGACAGGGCTAATGATGTGTTGGAACTGAAGAGATATAAATGCTAATTTGCATCCCTCTGTTTCCTTCAGTCTGTTAATGAGTCTATTATGGTAACAGGTATTTAGTTCCTGTAACAGGCTGATACATCATAACTATATTATGGTAACAGGTATTTAGTTACTGTAACAGGCTGATACATCATAACTATATTATGGTAACAGGTATTTAGTTCCTGTAACAGGCTGATACATCATAACTATATTATGGTAACAGGTATTTAGTTACTGTAACAGGCTGATACATCATAACTATATTATGGTAACAGTTCTTTAGTTACTGTAACAGACTGCTGTGTATTAGATACATAATTTAAACGTACAAGCAGCAACTGGTTAAGCAACACTTTTCAACTCTGCCCTTAAATAATGTAGGAGACACAAGCCACAACAGAAAATATACTTTGGTGAAAGCAGTGAAATATATTCTGTCCTTGTTTTCTGCTAGTTGCCGTCCTTGCACTGTAAAACAGTGACTGTAGACTTGTGAAACCATGTGAGTTGTGTTTTGATAAATCAAGTGATAGGGTGCAGAGAAGAGCAGCAGGTTGAGTCAGTGTTTCTGTGTATTTATTTGAACAACTCACCTCCAGTCTGTCTGTCCTCATGAGTTTCTGTGTATTTATTTGAACAACTCACCTCCAGTCTGTCTGTCCTCATGAGTTTCTGTGTATTTATTTGAACAACTCACCTCCAGTCTGTCTGTCCTCATGAGTTTCTGTGTATTTATTTGAACAACTCACCTCCAGTCTGTCTGTCCTCATGAGTTTCTGTGTATTTATTTGAACAACTCACCTCCAGTCTGTCTGTCCTCATGAGTTTCTGTGTATTTATTTGAACAACTCACCTCCAGTCTGTCTGTCCTCATGACTTTCTGTGTATTTATTTGAACAACTCACCTCCAGTCTGTCTGTCCTCATGAGTTTCTGTGTATTTATTTGAACAACTCACCTCCAGTCTGTCTGTCCTCATGACTTTCTGTGTATTTATTTGAACAACTCACCTCCAGTCTGTCTGTCCTCATTACTTTCTGTACGGCTGCAGCAGCAGCGGAGTGCATGGGGACGTTGGGGTTACTGGTCACCAGGACCGGGGCGCTGGACATGATCTCAGCGGGCATCAGGCCAGGAGACACCGGGCCCAGGTAGGGGTTAAACGCAGCCGCAGCAGCAGCAGCAGCACTGGCGTTGGAGGCAAAGCTGGGCGTCACAGAGAACATGGGCACCGGCTGTAGGGAAACAAGAGACACAACAATACTGGTGTTAAAAGATGTCAGAGATATTCAGCCAATCTTAGCAGACAAAGGTAACACTTTATTTGGATAGTCCATCTGTAGACGCTCTACAGACTATCAGTAACATTTCAACTATCTATCTACTAACCCTAGCCCTAACCCTAAGCTTAACCGTTATCATAACCCTAAAATTAACCCTTGCCCTAACCCTTATTCTAAATGTTATTCTAAACCTTACCCTTACCCTAATCGTAACCTTAGCAATTAGTTGCTTATCAACAGATAGTCAGTTGCTTATTAGCAGTTTGTTGATAGTATGACCATCTGTAGAGCATCTATATGGGAATTTCTGGACAATCTGGACAATCTGGACTATCTGGACTATCTGGGCTATCTGGACTATCTGGACTATCTGACTTGGACCTATAAAAAGTTAAAGAACCTGTGGGACATAGAAGAGAACGATAGAAGGTATAAGAGAACGAAAGAGAAAGGGATAGGAGAAAGAGGACAATAGAGAGAAAGGGATAGTAAGGAGACAATGAGAGGGAAGTAGAGAGAAGTAGAAAGGATATAAGTAGAATAGAGAAGAATAAGTAGGACGTAGAAGATGTAAAGAGATAGAGGAAGATAGAAAGAGAGAAATAAGAGAAAGGGATAAGGTAGAAAGAGAGTAAGAAGAGAGAAAGGAGATAGAAGAGTAGAAGAGATAAGAGAAGGATAGAGAAAGAGAGACAGATAGAGAGAAAGGGATAAGGTAGAAAGAGAGACAGATAGAGAGAAAGGGATAAGGTAGAAAGAGAGACAGATAGAGAGAAGATAAGGTAGAAAAGGTAGAAAGAGAGACAGAACCAGAGTGAGAGATACCAGTGAGGGAAAAAAGTATTTGATCCCCTGCTGATTTTGTACGTTTGCCCACTGACAAAGAAATGATCAGTCTATAATTTTAATGGTAGGTTTATTTGAACAGCGAGAGACAGAATAACAACAAAAAAATCAAGAAAAACGCATGTCAAAAATGTTATAAATTGATTTGCATTTTAATGAGGGAAATAAGTATTTGACCCCCTCTCAATCAGAAAGATTTCTGGCTCCCAGGTGTGTTTTATACAGGTAACGAGCTGAGATTAGGCACACACTCTTAAAGGGAGTGCTCCTAATCTCAGTTTGTTACCTGTATAAAAGACACCTGTCCACAGAAGCAATCAATCAATCAGATTCCAAACTCTCCACCATGGCCAAGACCAAAGAGCTCTCCAAGGATGTCAGGGACAAGATTGTAGACCTACACAAGGCTGGAATGGGCTACAAGACCATTGCCAAGCAGCTTGGTGAGAAGGTGACAACAGTTGGTGCGATTATTCGCAAATGGAAGAAACACAAAATAACTGTCAATCTCCCTCGGTCTGGGGCTCCATGCAAGATCTCACCTCGTGGAGTTGCAATGATCATGAGAACAGTGAGGAATCAGCCCAGAACTACACGGGAGGATCTTGTCAATGATCTCAAGGCAGCTGGGACCATAGTCATCAAGAAAACAATTGGTAACACACTACGCCGTGAAGGACTGAAATCCTGCAGCGCCCGCAAGGTCCCCCTGCTCAAGAAAGCACATATACAGGGCCGTCTGAAGTTTGCCAATGAACATCTGAATGATTCAGAGGAGAACTGGGTGAAAGTCAGATGAGACCAACTCAACTCGCCGTGTTTGGAGGAGGAGGAATGCTGCCTATGATCCCAAGAACACCATCCCCACCATCAAACATATGGGGTGGAAACATTATGATTTGGGGGTGTTTTTCTGCTAAGTGGACAGGACAACTTCACCGCATTAAAGGGACGATGGACGGGGCCATGTACCATCAAATCTTGGGTGAGTACCTCCTTCCCTCAGCCAGGGCATTGAAAATGGGTCGTAGATGGGTATTCTAGCATGACAATGACCCAAAACACACAGCCAAGGCAACAAAGGAGTGGCTCAAGAAGAAGCACATTAAGGTCCTGGAGTGGCCTAGCCAGTCTCCAGAGCTTATTCCCATAGAAAATCTGTGGAGGGCGCTGAAGTTACCAAACGTCAGCCTCGAAACCTTAATGACTTGGAGAAGATCTGCAAAGAGGAGTGGGACAAAATCCCTCCTGAGATGTGTGCAAACCTGGTGGCCAACTACAAGAAACATCTGACCTCTGTGATTGCTAACAAGGGTTTTGCCACCAAGTACTAAGTCATGTTTTGCAGAGGGGTCAAATATTTATTTCCCTCATTAAAATGCAAATCAATTGATAACATTTTTGACATGCGTTTTTCTGGATTTTTTTGTTGTTATTCTGTCTCTCACTGTTCAAATAAACCTACCATTAAAATTATAGACTGATCATTTCTTTGTCAGTGGGCAAACGTACAAAATCAGCAGGTGATCAAATACTTTTTTCCCTCACTGTAGCAGACAAAAATAGAAAAAGGGACAGTGTTCTTTTGATGACTGCTCCTATTTCACTCACACATAGTGAGAGTCTCATCTCCCTGTGGGGTCACATTTATTACCCCCTCAGGGCTGAGAACAGAGCAGAGCATGTACAGAGAGAGAGAGAGGGAGAGTGGTGATGAGGATGGAAGTGTGTGTGTGTGTGTGTGTGTGTGTGTGCGTGCGTGTGGGTGGGTGTGTGTGTGTGTCCGTGTCGTACATGTGTTTGTGTGATGGATACTTGCATACATGAGTGTGTGTGTGTGTGTGTCTTACAGCACTGTTAGGGTTTTATAGAGCTACTGGCAACAGTTCAAGCAGACATCTGCATTCCCTTAGCGTGACACGCTGAGTCTGTACTGACTGACGTAGCAGGTTGTAGGTTTTCTCTGCGCATTCCTAACCTCAGCCACATATTCCTCTCTGAGACAGACCATCTCCTCCAGGAGGAGAGAGGGAGACCATCTCATCCAGGAGGAGAGAGGGAGACCATCTCAGCCAGGAGGAGAGAGGGAGACCATCTCAGCCAGGAGGAGAGAGAGAGACCATCTCAGCCAGGAGGAGAGAGGGAGACCATCTCATCCAGGAGGAGAGAGAGATACCATCTCATCCAGGAGGAGAGAGGGAGACCGTCTCATCTAGGAGGAAAGAGAGAGACCATCTCCTCCAGGAGGAGAGAGAGAGACCGTCTCATCCAGGAGGAAGAGAGACCGTCTCATCCAGGAGGAGAGAGAGAGTCCGTCTCATCCAGGAGGAGAGAGAGAGACCGTCTCATCCAGGAGGAGAGAGAGAGACCATCTCAGCCAGGAGGAGAGAGGGAGACCATCTCAGCCAGGAGGAGAGAGAGAGACCATCTCAGCCAGGAGGAGAGAGGGAGACCATCTCAGCCAGGAGGAGAGAGGGAGACCGTCTCATCCAGGAGGAAAGAGAGAGACCATCTCCTCCAGGAGGAGAGAGAGAGACCGTCTCATCCAGGAGGAAGAGAGAGAGAGAGAGAGAGAGAGAGAGAGAGAGAGAGAGAGCTCAAAGACATTGCTCCTGCATTTTTAACACAAAATATAGATTTAGAGTTAGATAAAGTAGGATTTTTTGGCAGGGACATATACAGGATGCTACCCTCCACAACATAACCTTCATTCCAAAACAAAACTCCAAACCTACAACCTGATTTTGGACGGAATTACCTGGAAAGCTTTCTACTACCAAGGATTACTATTCTCAAACTATACAGCAAATGCTCTGGAAAACAAACAGAAACCTGAAAACACCATCCAACCTGGAACTGAGTGAGTAATGTTTAGTATGAAGCTATTTTTCACTTTCAAAAACCAAGAAGAAAAATTCATTACAATGATATATTTTATATTATAAGGACTGAATTCTAAGGCTACCAAGCTTAAGCTTGCTACAAAGAGATACAATTTCAATTAGCACTGACGTGTGAAGTGAGAGGTGTCAAAGCCCTTGAGCCCAACAATGGCAGGAGAGTCGTACAGTCTACCCCAACTAAATGGAGAGGCCTTAGAAGCACCCCCCCCACTGTTCAGAGGTCATTAAAATACAGTACCCTCTGAATGTAAAAAACGACAAGACACGAAAAGAGTATAAATTGAAACTTCTTTTGGGGAAGCACGAGACACTTTTTGCTGATTTGTATAAAAATGGGAACATAAGCAACCTTATCTTCCACACAGACCATCCCCTGGCATGGCACAGTGCTATACTAGCACACTACCCCTCTGTTAAGAGGGGGGGTGTTAGCGACGGGTGGAAACTCAGGATACTGGACAACGAGGACTCTGAGTCGTCTAATATTAATCTCTATAAATCTGGAACCGTTTTGGTTCAAGGCAACACCAAACAGTTCCAGCTGGACTTTCACCTAATCAAAGAAATAGCTCAGCAGGAGAAGCTCTCCCTTGAGAAAGATACCCCTACCCCGAGCGGGTCAGACCAGACCTCTTCATTAAATAACCCCACAGAGCAACCCCAAGCAGAAACTCAACTTCCCAGCACAGAGTACTACTCCCTCATTGAAATGAAGGATAAATTCACCCAGCTGGAGGTAAGTCAGGTGGAGCTGGAACAGCAGGTGAACACACTCCAGTCAGCACAGACCCAGACAACAGTCCAGCACAACAACACCCCCTTAACTAGACCTGGAGAGCTGCAGGTGGAGAGAGACATGTCTGCACTCTGGACTGTGGTGAGACAACATCAACAGGAGAAAAAGCAGGAGCAGGAGAAGAACAGAGCACTAGAGGAGAGGATCAGAGTGCTGGAGGAGAAGGTGAGAACGATGACGGGTGACATTGAACAACCCATTAGAGAACAGCCCACCTCAGATCCTGGCCAAAGTCTCGACACCGCAGCAGAACAGTACACCCTAGACCATGACCATAGCCTCGACATCACACCCAGACAAACAAATGAAGAACCCCAAGCCCTGGGGACCCCAACCCCTCTGAGCAACCCCCCAGTCAGACACCCTGATAGCCCTCATGACGACCCCCCCACACCCAC